AGCGAATACTGGAGCCTGCAAGCGTGTCGGACGCTCCGACGCCTACGCCACCGAGTTCGATCTTGAAGCTGAGGAATACGTGCCCGTACCGAAGGGAGAGGTCCACAAAAAGAAGGAAATCGTTCAGGATGTGACACTGCACGATCTGGACATGGCCAATGCTCGGCCCCAGGGTGGACAGGATGTGATGAGCATGATGGGCCAGCTCATGAAGCCCAAGAAGACCGAGATTACGGAGAAGTTGCGCCAGGAGATCAACAAGGTCGTCAACCGCTACATCGACCAGGGTGTCGCGGAGCTCGTTCCCGGTGTCCTCTTCATCGACGAGGTAAATCATCCTAGCCCTTCCCTGCCTTACCTCACATTCGTTTGCTTACCCCACTCCTAGGTTCACATGCTCGACATTGAATGCTTCACATACCTCAACCGGGCCCTTGAGTCCTCTATCTCCCCCATTGTCATCCTTGCCTCTAACCGCGGAAATACCGTCATCCGCGGCACCGACGACATCTCCGCCGCCCACGGCATCCCTCCCGACCTTCTCGCCCGTCTCCTCATCATCCCCACCCACCCTTACTCTCCCGATGAGATCAAGACCATCATTCGCCTGCGCGCCAAGACGGAAGGCCTCAGCATCACCGACCCCGCCCTGGACAAGGTCTCCGAGCACGGCAGCAAGGTCAGCTTGCGGTATGCCCTGCAATTACTTACCCCAGCTAGCATCCTCGCCAAGGTAAATGGACGCCCAGGCGGCATCGAGGAAGCCGACGTGGCAGAGTGCGAAGACCTGTTCCTTGATGCGCGGAGGAGCGCCACGATCGTGAACCAGGATAGTGAGAAGTATCTCAAATAAGGGGAACGTGGCTCACCACTTGGCTGGATTTTTGGAGAACAGGCAAGACGGGGTGTGAAGAGAAAACAACCGAAAGAAACAAACACATACAAGAAAGCAATATGTATACCATGTCTGCAGGTTTTTATTATATTTTCCTAACTAAACCGGGAAGAGCCATTGCTTTTTCTGTTACGAATGAGCTATTTTACGTTAATGTCAACTACTAGTATTAGGGATTCTATTTTCAACCTCCAGAAACAAGTTCGTAATATTTCTTGTCTAGTAATTGTCATATAACGTCCCAAGGCTCTTCCCTCTAAAAAAGAAACTGAAGAATAAGAATGAAAACATCATCAAGACCACTTTTTACCACTAGTGGCAGCATTGCACACCGGTCTAAACCTCATCTTCGCCTTCCCAGCGGCGCCCGGCAAAGCCCTCAAGAGAACCAAAAAAAATCTCAGAATAAGAAAATAAACATGAAGCAGGCGAATAATCGTCCGGATCACATTATCTCTCAAGCCGAGGCTCGGAGGAGGCCCTGATGCAGCCGCCTCCAAGGGATCCTGGTGAAATTGCACGTGGAACGGGGCCTCGGCGCCTAAATCCTGGATGGCGATCCTGAGACCAGCCGTGATGGCATCTTCTAGGTGTCCGCGTCCTGTCCAGCAGAAACCGTAACTTAGTCCACGTTTGCTTTGGATGGTGGGGAGATGATGTTGTGCTATCAGGGTCTGGGTACTTGGCTCCGGATCGGTGAACTCCCATACACCTTGCACGTGGCTTGGGTGCGGTGGGGTGAAGGGGTTTAGGGTGATGTATATGGGGCCGAAGAGGTGGGGTGGGATGCTGTCGAGGAAGTTGGCGATGTAGCTGAGACTGGAAATGTGGAATGTGGTGGTGGTGGTGGTAGTGTTGCTTGGTTGGGTTTGCCAGTCTGGGTTGCTGGGGCCTAGGATGTAGTTGCAGGCGGGGCCGGGGTCTTCGACGTTGGGCATGAGCTGGTTTGTGAGGTTAGCAGGGCATATATAAGGGAAGTAGATGGGACGCACAAGAGGGTCAGAATGTAAAACAGAGATGTTTCTGGTTGAGCCTAAACTTCGGATGATCCCCTTTTCTTGCTCATCTGCGAGCGATCCCAGTATCTTGATAGTCTCCTGGCCGTTCACGGCGAAGACTATATGGTTGAAAAACAGTTCTTCGCCTGCAGATGTCATGATACCGAACTTCTTTCCATATTGAACAATCTCTGTTACTCTAGTCTTGAGATGAACTTTCGAGGAGGGAAAGCTTTTGGTCATGGTCTGGATGAACTGGTTCACCCCTGGTCCGATGCGACGCCAGTTTGGCAAGGCTTGACGGGGTTTCAGCAGCTGGTGATGATACAGGGCCTGGACGAGGGCTTTCGCAGGAACCCGTGGCAGGAACTTCCCCGCATTCGTGCTCCACAGAATGGACAGCAGTGGGGCTAGGTAGTTCTCGATAAAGGTATTGGAGTACTCTTCGCCTGCGAGGTACTCATGCGAGGATAACGACTGGGGATCCGTGGGTTTACAAGCCTCAAAGCCGGGATCGAGTACATCCACGGCCATGTATTTCAGCCAAATAGCATCGCACAGTATGCGATAGGTTTCTAAGTTGCAAAGTGTCCATGGACGAAGAAGAATGCTTTTCAGTATGCTACCACACCATTGAAAACTGTCAATCCCATCCGTAGCCCCAAAGGAGAACGGAGCCTTGACACTGGTTATCCCAAGGTAGTCTAACAACGAAACGAGGTTTGCTGAAGATGTGCATTAGTCAAGAAAGATATGGGCTGGGAAGTTGCCACTAACGAGAAGCCCCGGCATTGAAATTGGGAGAACTTGTATTCACATCAACTCGCTGACCATTATGCTCAAAGGGCAGGGCATTTACGCGCCCACCAAGAGAGTCTGAGGCTTCAAATAAATGAACATCATGGGCGGAATTTTGCAACGCCCAGAAGGTCGTGATACCCGTACAACCGCCCCCTATAACAGCAACCCGCTCAGGCTGAAAGGGCGGCATGAAAACAACAGCTGTCAGCGGCTAACCTTGCCATAGAGCAGGCCAACCTGAGAGAATGAAAAGAATTTATCGGCACGAACTTGGCGCGCTGGGATGCTGATTCAAGACCAGGCTCAGTGTCTAGTAGACAGCTTAGAAAGATTGTATAGTACTCCTTGCCCTATCCGGAGATACTGGGATAGGGAACATTGGAGTGGTAAGGTAGCAGAGCAGTCTCAGAGAAAGATCGAAGACAGGGTGACGACAGGTTTATCAAGACAACCATGTGCGCTCAGATCCCAACCTGCTACGCGCTCTGGTCCTCATGTGGCGGCCAAATGTGATCGCATCAGATGACAGACACAGCTAGGGCGACTCAGTCGAAGTATGCATGGAATGAATGTTCCTTGAGATTAAGGCAGATCTACCAAAAAGAGAGCCCAACCGTAAACTGGGGTATATATGTGACTTGTCACTAGTGAGGGGGGCCTAAGGAAATACGGCCATTATATGAGTCGAGGAGGAAGCTCCACCGATCTGAGACGGAAATAATGAGGGGGGCGAATCCTAGAGAAGTTAATTGACCACGAGTCAGGGGACCATTCTCCTCGAAGGAATGGAAAGGAACAAGCCAACCATAATGTTAGCCTCCCACAAGCGAGGGTGAGCGCTGGGACCCTGGATTGGGGGAGGGGCATTCAACGGCACGATGAATGGAATCCATACAATGGATCTGTTGGTCGAACTTGGCGCCAGATGCGATGCAACAATTAGACTAATAAGTTAGTCTGGTTTAACGGCCGTTGAGCCCCGACGACGTCAGCCGGATCCCTCTGCCTCGGCCGCCGATCACGTGTGGCCGTCGCCGTTCCTGTCATCGCCGCAGGCCAGCCAGTTGTCTCTCTCCATGCATCTGCCTATCCTATCTGCTTTCCATCCAGCTGCATCTCCGTCTGTCCTTCGGATATACTGGTTTTGTTTTTCGAGCTGATTCTGGTTCATTCTCTCATAGACCGTGTCATTCACTCCGTTGATTGTCCCAATCTCTTTCCCGGAGCAGCACGGGCGCCGCCAGCCACCACGGAAGATAAGGTGGCTACTCCGTACTACTCTCTCCACTTACTTGGATCCGCAACCCCTATCCACTGATTAATTCGGTCTCGATCGGCTGTGCAACATAACCAAAGACTCTTCAACCTACGCAAACTCCCCATATAATATCATAATGTCGAACCCGTTGGACACCGACGCCGGCTCGGAGCTCTTCAGCAGCTACGAGACCGAGCTAAAGCTGGTACAAGCTGATTTGAATCAGAAGTTGGACCAGATCGCCGAGTCTAGCGGTGAACAACGCAAGTCAGCAATCAGGCAAGCCGAGAGAGCCCTGGATGAAGCCACGGAATTGGTATGTTCGACAGACTTGTCGAAAAGCGCGCCCCGCGTCACTTTCCACTAACAAGCAGGAAAACAGCTAGATCAAATGCGCATGGAGAAACAGAACATCCCTTCAGCAGCACGATCGAAGATCAACACGCGCGTTCGCAACTACGCTACCGATATCGACGAGGCAAAGCGCAAGTTGAGATCTCTCTCCGATGACCGCAAGGCGCTCTTCGGCGACCGCTACACAGATGATCCGCAGGACGAACATCTGGAACAAAGACAACAGCTCCTGTCTGGTACGGAGCGGTTGGAGCGCAGTTCTGCCCGGCTCCAGGAGAGTCAGCGCATCGCCCTCGAAACGGAGGATATTGGTCGCAACACCTTGGCCGACTTGAACCAGCAGCGCGAGACGATTATGAATGCGCGGGGTCGACTGCTCGAGAGCGAAGGATATGTGGACACCAGTATCAAGACACTAAGGGGCATGGCCCGTAGGTACTGTCCCCCTAATACACAAGGACATTTGCTTTGCTGCTTGTCACAGCCGCTTGGTGCCCAAATGCTTACTGTCTTCTAGGATGGCTACGAATCGGTTGATCACAATCGCAATTATCACAGTCTTGATCTTGTTGATTTTCGCTGTTATCTACAGCAAGTTCCATTGAGCGTGGGTTTGGAAGGCGTTATTACCGGTGGCCTCTCTTTCATTTTATTTCCCTCTTAACGACACCTTCAAGTCTGCAGTCGCAGACACATCACGCAATGTTGTATGATAGCAACCCATCAGCTTTAATCAGGCGCCATGTTACATGTTCTAGTACCTCGCACAGTTTCGTCGACAAGCCAAGCCTTATGATGTCTAGAAAACTTAGAAGAAAAAAACAACAACCAAGGGTATAATACATGGAAAAAAGAAACCAAACATAAAAACACTAATTCATAATCCTCATGGCCCCAAAAGCAATATTAACCACGACCCCAACAAAAACCGCCAACCCCTTCCTCCAACTCCAAACCCCCTCCTCCCTCCTCAACCACATGGCACACCCAACCGGCCAAAAGAACCCCATCACCGCCCCCCAAAGCATATCATCCATCGCGCCCCTCGACCCAGCCCCAAACCCCCATCATCCTCCGCAAACGACACCACCCCACCATCCCCGCCCCCTCCCCCAGCCGCCATAGCCGCCGTCGACCCCTCATCCATCCACCGGTCCTCCAACTCCCGCAACTCCGCCCCCGACGGCATCGTATCCGGGGTATGCGACACCGACTGTACCGCTAGAAACTGCGACCGGAGGCCTGCCACCTCCGCGGGTGTAAACCCTGCCGAGAGTAACCGGTCGAAACCCCGCGGCGCGGGCGTCGTAGTACTAGCATCACCGCCACTATCTACATCTTTCTGTCGGTGTCCTCTGGCACTACCGTCTTCATGATGATTATCTGATGGTGATTGTTCTTCGTCGTCGTGGAGTGTAGATGCGATCGACGCTTCCGCGGCAAGATCGGCCGCTGAGAGAACGATATCGCCGATGGAGCAGTGGATGTAAAGACGGGGATGGTCGCGGACAGGGGCTTTGCCTTTGCGGTTGGGATCGGAGGCCGGGTCTGAGGTGGTGTCGTTGGGTGGGGAGGTTGTTGGTGGTCGCGGGGAGCGTGTGGGTGTGGGAGGGAGTTTGAGGGATACGGAGAGAGGGGTCTTGTCTTCAAGACCACGACCAGCGTGAATGAGGCGGAGACGGTGAGAGGAGAGGTTAGGGGGAAGACGTGTGCGGATGAGTTGTTTTAGGCCCGCGGAGGTGGTGGTTTCGGGGGAAAAGATGTCGAGGGGGAGGTCGGGGATGGAGGCGGAGAAGCGGATGGTCACGTAAAGGGGGTTGGAGGTTGAGGTCGAGGGTGGGAGGTCGAGGGGCGGAGGGGATTTTAGAAAGGATGATGATGCCATTGTCTATGCGTCTTGTGGAGAGGTGTACAGGGTGTGAGATGAAGATTGAAGCCAGCGATGTCGGTACGTCACGGCTTGCTTGCGATAACCTCCGATAAGGCCCGGGCTGTTGTCTGAGGTCTTTCGGGGTTGTGCACGTGATTTATACTTGTAGGGAGGAGGACGTGTGATTGGCTGTACTGCTCCCCAGTATAGCACTTATGTTTATCGAGATCAACATTGATTTAATGTTCTGTATGTGTATTTACTTCCATGTGCTATGAAACAAGTAGACGATACTATACGATTTGTCGCATGGCAATGCAACAGATTTGCGTGACAATGCTCTTGGAATCATTCGCTCTTGACTATGTCAATTCGTATTCCATGGTAAGCGCCCCCTCGCAAGCCAGGCCAAAAATTACTGGACCTGGGCATCATGTTTATGTTTAAACTTCAATTGTGCGATAACATCAGAAGACAGAATTCAGTGTAGGAAGACGGACGAAGATAAGCAATCATACGCGTCTTTCCCGAACGGGTAACTAGTTTGGAGAAAAAAAGACATTGTCTGTGGGGTTTGATAAGACCGAGCCGGTCTCGTGATCGGCGTCTTCCCCTCATCCTCCAGCTTATCATTATCCCTCATTCCTATCCAAGTCCAAAAGAGTCAAAATGTCCTGAGATACAATCATCGTGGGCGGACTACTCGCTTGCCTAAGGGTCTGCTTGGTGTCTCGGGTGATCTACACGATGCAAGCCGAGCCCCGCAAGTTGAAACGAACGGCGAACGCGTAAGAAACCTGGAAAGTAATCTGGAAACTAGCTTATCGATGTTGACCCCGCTTATCCAGATGTATTGCCTGTCGTCAGAGCAAGATTAAATGCTCTGGGGTCGAACCATGCGCCAATTGTCAGAGACGGGCTGTTCCTTGTCGGTTTTCCGAGGAAAATCGTAGGGTTCAGATATCAGAACGGTACCTTTCCAAAGGATTGGATGGCTATGGATCATACGATGCTCATAATGCGGCAGGTGCCTCCGTGAGTTGCAGACACAGGCTAAAGAGCAGCATGAGACGACGAAGAAACGAACCCACGATGTTGCATTCGAGGAAGTCGAAAGTATGTATATGACCGGGCAAAATCTGTCGTCTCTTCGCTGTAGTCTTACTCTGTTAGATGTTCTCGGTTCAGAATCGCGTTCTCCAGGTGCAAATTGGCCCAGTCCATTTGGTCTGCCCTCAATGACGATGAAGAACACCCATGATAATCGATTATCCCGATGGAGTAAGACCAGGCACTCTCCTCTCTGATGTAATCCTTGTTGTTATGCGCATGCGGCTGACCTGACTAGTCTGGCTGGCTCCAACATCTACTTGGTCTTTTACCGCTCGTCTTACTTTGATGATGTCTCAAAGGCTGCATCCGGACGTGGCCTACGATATTCCCTACTATCTTGATGGAGATATCTATCCTCTACAGTGGAAGTCGTCTTCTGATGCTGCTCCTGACATCAGCGGTCTCCCGTCTATGGACTACGCTCTTTATCTTTTCAACACAGTCAAGTTTCATCTGGGCCAGACTTTCCGGCTCTTGGACGAGGAGACCTTCACAGCGCATATGCAAGAGTTCTACTACGGCGATGCAACCAAGAAAGCAACAGATAGTCGGCTGTGGTTCATCCAGTTTTTGCTAGTGTTGTCCTTTGGAAAAGCGTTTCTTGACCAGTTTAAGAAGAGAGACCCGCCAGGTGCAGCATACTTTGTTCGTGCCATGTCTTTGATGCCGGATTACAGTTCTATATGGAGAGATACCCTTCTGGCCATCGAGGTCATGGCTCTAGCAGCTTTGTATCTCTACTCAATTGATCGACGAGAGTCAGGACACCTTTTTGTAAGAACCTGGCTTGCTTTTGAAATTGCACGGGGTAGAAAATCTAACATAGTACAGGCTAGCCAGGCCATCAGGATTGCGCAACTTGAAGGTCTACACACGGAGCTTCCGGAGCAAGAGCTGGGGGCAGCAGCTGTTGATCGCTGCCGTAATCTGTGGTGGACACTGTACATTATGGACCGCCATTTTTCGTCATCACTGGGCATACCCATGATTGTGCATGATAGCGATGTCACAGCATTAATTGATTCCCCAACACAGTCGTGCCAGAGGAACGCTATGCTAAGTCTGAGAGTGAAGCTATCGCGGCTATTGTCCACAATACTTGGCAGTAGGTTCTAAATCAACATTACGAGAGGATATCGACTCATAGACGATAGCTGTTTACAGGACTGAGAGACGGCCCATCGAATCCTTCATTGAGAAAACGAAGACTATTTTGAACACTATGGCAGATCTAGCTCGGGAGTTGGAGGACTTTATCAATACCAAATTCGCAGGCCCGGTTAACTCCATGTCGAAAGGGATGCGCCATATCCTCCTGCTATATCACGAGGTATGTCTGCCTTCGAGCAAACCAACATCCGAGCTAACTCATACTACTAGTGTGTCATCGTTGCCACACGGCCCCTCCTTCTAGCCGTTCTACGGGAGCGTCTGGATAAACTTGGCCTCCCTTTAGAATGCTGCCGCAGGATTGTCCCTCTCATGGAAACACTGATGTCAACGGGGATCAACTCAGCGACCAAAAGTCTACAGTCACTTAAAGCTCTAGTGGACGAGGGCCTTCTCGGTGGGCAAAATCAGAAAGAACAATCACCAACTACTAACCGCACCACAGAATCATTCCTCCCCTTCGACCTGGAATTCACGTACGGCGCCGCTATTCACCTCACAATAACCAGCGCCCTTGTACCTGAATTAGTCGGACAGCGAAGCTCCAACCAACAAGCACATCTGATTCTCGATGAAATCATCATCAAGGGGAACCGCGTAGCCGAAATTCGCAAAGCTGATCTGACTCGTCTCGAGACCTTGTTCGAGGGACTAAAGGAGCGGTATGCGAATGCGGCGAATCACATCCGTGCCACTTTAGTTCCAGAGACGAGTGATGATGCGCATGAGCAGGATCATAGGCCAAATGACAATACCCAGTTACCGTTCATCACTGGGGATATAAATGTCTCAGAGGATGAGTTGCCTGAGCTGGGATTGACGTCTTATGATATCGCGGCCATTGTGGATCAGATTGATTACAATGCTAGCCCGCCTTTCTGGCTAGCTCAGGAGGGGGAAGATTTGTGATGTGTGGCATTAACTTACGTATATTGAGTCGTGTATATGGAGCTTCAAGGATGAGTGGGGCTTATACTCGCATATAGGGTGTTGTTGATTCCATCGAGAGCAGTAACAGAGCATCTGCACTGCAACTGAGTACACCAACACTAGATAACAACTATACTACACCCAATACATAACTCTTGGCTGATAATGGTCATATTCCCCAGCTACACCCGAAGCGGCAGTACAGAAACAGACAACACCATCACTGTATTAATCCGTCAGTCCATTATATGATATCTCCATACCAGTGCAGTAGATCCAGCCACAGCATCTATCATTCACACATGTCAGCCCTATCATCGGATAAGCCACCCGATCTCCGCAACGAAGCCGACCCGACCCGAGAGGGGAAGTATATCACGCCCCTCGAGGCATGGTTCATGGATACAGAGACTACCAGCATCATCATACCGGCCAAAAAAGCCATCTACATTGCAAAAAACCACTACGAAGTAACAACAGCAACAATAACAACAACCACCAAAAATGACCCGCCTCCCCCTCCCCATCCCACCCCCCATCCCAGCAACCTACACCCCCAAATCCCATCTCCGCACGATCCCCTCCACCACCCCAATCGAATACATCCTGGCCATCCTCTCCCGCGATGGCGGCGTGATCATCTCCGACTTCATCCCAAGAGAAGACCTCACCGCCATCGACACCGAACTCACTCCATGGACCAGCGCCAGCACCAGCACCAAGAAACCCACCCCCACCTCCACAACCAACGGCGCCTTCACCACCATCCCCTCCCAAACGACCCTCATCCCCGGCCTGGTAGGCAAATCCCCCACCATAGCCCGAATCACCGCGGAGCATCCCACCTTGGAAGCCCTACGCACGCGCATCCTCGTGGACGAATGGTGCATCAACCGAGAAGACAGCGTGGAGCCGAACCGTCTCGACCCGTTACTCAGCCTTAGCGTGGCAATGAACATCGGGTACGGGGCGCCTCGCCAGCTCCTTCACCGGGACGATAATGTGCATCATGTGCGACATGAGTATCGCGAGTGGGAGTGGGGGTGGGACCAGGTAAGCCAGTTTGGGTGCTTGATTGCGGGCTGTGATGTTAGTCGGGAGATGGGGGCGACGATGTTTGTGAAGGGGAGTCATCGGTGGGGGGATGAGAGGTGGGCGGAGGTTGGTGAAGGGAATGAGAAGGGGGAGGTGTGTTTTGCTGGTACGTTACCTGCCCTACTTACCCCTTGAAGAGTATTATTTCTGATGTCGGTGGTGTTGGGTATGGGTTAGAGATGAAAGCCGGCTCAGCGCTGATATTCCTTGCCTCGGCGTACCATGGGGGAGGACATAACTCGCTCCCTGGGACGGTGAGGAATATGTATGGGTTGTTCTTCTGTAGGGGACATTTGCGGACGGAGGAGAATCAGTTCCTCGCTATTCCCAGGAGTGTGGTTACCAAGATGAGTCCGAAGATGTTGGAGTTGTTGGGGTATAAGAAGCCGACTACGGCATTGGGGATCGTGGATAATATTAGTCCGGATGAGGATGTTGAGGGGGTTTGGGAGAGGGTGGTGCGGTGAGGCTTGTCTTAGAAGGGTTGATCAATTGATGTATTGTGTTTGGGGGTTGCTTGTATGTAGGTGGGTGGAGGTATGATCACTAGGAATGGAGATGGTCAGTGTTATCAATAGGTTAGGCGGGTGTGAGAAGTAATATGGTTGTGGTGGAAGTAGGTAATGTAGTAGGTAGAGGTGATAGTTGCCGTTGGTCGAGATAGTAGACTTAATGTATTCTGTTATGCGCACTTCATAAACTATCGGATGAGGTGCAGCCGGGGTATTGCAGGGATCGGACAGGCCATCCGACATAGTTCAATTCAAGTACCCCGGATCTTATCTAAAGTTCCGAAGAAACCGAAAGGCCATTGCTGCATGTAAGCTCGGTGATTTTATTCCTAAATTTGGATATATTTTTTACTCGAGGTTTCGATTATATGGTTATTTGAATTTGTTGTTGTATTCACGATGGTCCTACATAAAGTAGTAATAAAGTAATGA